CAAACAAACAAACAAACAAACCGCCACTTACTCATCATCCTTCATTCATATGGTGAACTCTCCTCTCGAACCATGCATGATAAGTGTACATATGTATGCCCATGGGTGTATTTATCAATGTCTAAAGTGTTATTAAGTACAGATATGTTTCATTTGACTGCACTGTCGTCTTAATTACAAGAATTTTATGATAACGTAATCCAGTTTGATCTGTATGTTAAAACGAACGACGATGGCTCTTTCAGTTAAGAATCCCAATCTTCAAGCAACAACAACAAAAAAGTTCGATGTATATTTTGTATAAATAATTCGAAATTTATAATCACAGATGTTAGACCAATTAACCCATAAGTTAGACATTACAAATTATTCAATGTTCCGTCAGAATGCTCTGGACACAAAAACGATGGAACGTAATTAACCACTGTATTATTTTTGATGATTTTTTGTAAATTATTAGGGTTTTACCTATAATAATGTGCTAAGGATATTTAACAAGAGTGCAAATCTAACGAGTTTTCTAAAATGATGAATATATATATATATATATCTTGCCAGGAAATATTTACACGTCTCTATATTATACATAAAAACATATTTTAATTGTGAAGTGACTCATAGAAAGACGTAATTCGTTATAATGAAATGAAAACGACACTTGTACCTCAAGTAAAGATGTAAGTCAAGTATGTTCGATACTTATAGATTTTTGATATTTCTATTGTTCTGACCTGGATCTAGAATTATAATTAATTCTTTTTGTACATGGTAGTGTCACAATGCAGTCATGTTGAGAGACAATATGACATACTGTTTGTTTGTTTCTAATTAAGCACACAATAGGCTATCTGTGCTCTGCCAACCACGGGTATCGAAACCCGGTTTTTAGCGTTGTAGGTCCGCTGTGTCACTGGGGGGCAAATATGACATACAAATATAGATTATCATGATGACAAACATATTCTATGGAACTATTTAAAATGCTGTGAAAATAACTTGTAAGTCATAAAATTTCCCATGCATATATTTTATATAAACTAAATATGTCTACGTAGAATCAGATTTCAATGTATTTCCCCAGGTTTCTCAAACACCAGCAACAATATCTAAGATAAAAAAATCTGCAATCTAAAAATAAAGATAGAGTATTAATAATCTCAGTCAACACTTGCTCAGTATTAAGATGAAAGGAAGTACTCTGTCGTAATTAAAAGTAAACTTAATAAATCGGATAAACAGAGTAAAATTTAATGAAAGTACAGCGTTTCACCAGGTTAACCTGGCATCATCAGGTACGTCAACTACAGTGAATGAATTGAAACTACAAATATATATAATAATAATACAGCGCAAGGGTACATTGAACTTTGATTAGGTAAATTTAACAGTAAGGTATGATATTTCCGGAGGGTGTTTATTGATAGGGCTTGTCTTCTTGGGGGTCAATGTCTGTAATCAACAAAATAGGAGGATAGTATATTATATGTTATATACAGTTCACCACTATAAACAGCCTTGTCTTGTTGTTTCGAGTTGCCCTTGTCCAGGGTTTATTGATGAAGGGTGGAATTTCCCGAAACTGGTATAACTTGGTGACAAATGGTGAATCAAATGACAGATTAGGCTTAATATTTATTTTGTTTAGTACGTTTTTTTACGTGTTTCTAACTTGATTAACATGCCATGGAAAAATCTATGTAAAACTTGCTCAGTGTGTTTCTTTACGTGTTTCTAAAACTGATTGGGAGTATGAAAAGATGTAATCGAAACGTGCTCATTTTTGAACTTTACGTGTTTCTCAGGTTTATGAAAAGATGCAATCAAAACGTGCTCATATGTGAACTTTACAAGTTTCTGAAACTGGTTAAGAGCATAAAAAGATGTAATCGAAACATGCCCATCAATTATTTTCCCAATTTGTTTATTATGTGTACAAATAAACGTGTTGTTTATTTTACTGATTTTTTTCAGGGTAAGAAACAAAAATTCATACACGTTAAAAACACGTATGATAGTGTTTCGATTGGATTTTTTCATACTTTATTAATAAGTTTTTAGAAACATTTAAAGTTCACATATGAGCATGTGTAAAATAAACAACACATCTATTTGTACTTATGATAAATAAATTGGCAAAATAATTGATGGGCTCTTTAACGATTGCTTTGGAGAAAAACTAAACGAGAGTTTTTAAAAATAATCTTATTATCAAAACCAAGTGGATAGAAGTTTTTATGTATAATCATTCGCGTCGTTTAGTTTCCCCCTCTTAATTCAACTAAACAAATATACCCTTGTTAATGGCTATGTCTAATTGTCTATACCTACAGGAAGATTTCTTTGTTTACAACAGAGCTTCAAAAGTTTCTAAGACAATGAAATTACTTTGAAAGCGGTGAGAATGGGATCGTCGCTCGTTAGTGAGATCCAGGCCGGACTGGCCAAAGCTCGGTACGTGTGGATCTTTCTCAGAGAGTAACGTAAACTGTCCGTATGTATCCCCTCCTCACATTTCTGACAACAACACGACAGAGAATGAGGTGTCTCAATCATCGCTCCTCGGGACAGTAGGAGCTGTAATATTTCAAACTGATTGCAGTGGGCGGCAAGGATAACAGGTGAGATATCAGGACTGTAGTCCGAGCTCTCTTCGCCCTGCTGGCGACTCTTAGCCCAATCGTTGGACAACATGCCTGCTGTAATACTGGGGTGATTGATTAACATCTCCACAATCTTGTAAACACCTTCGCGGATGGCGTGAAGCAAGGCATCTCCAATCTTTACCATATCCTGCATTAGAAGAAGCTCTACTATTTCAACATTTTCATTGTCCACGGCGATCTGAATTGCGCTGCGACCTAGAATATTAGTACAGTTGACATTGACAGGATTAGGTGGCTGAAGACACCGGATAATGGTGTGCTTGTCGCCCCGCTCGGCTGCCTCCAGGAACGTCCGCTCCTTAGGATCCATAGTTTGGTTGTCTTTCAATGGTCCCAGTGGAATAGGAATGTGCTTCTTCTTAATGCTGACTTTCTTGTTGCGGCCCAAAGACTTGGTCATCATGGAACCGTGGGAACTGTCCATGGCAAAAGTCACAATGTTTCTCTTTGGGGATTTCTCTGATTGCTTCACCAAGACCTAACTGTCTCTCGTCTAGATGACATTTCGTGAGCTCACCTGTACCACTCGTCACTAGAATATAAGAAAAAAAACAAAAACGAAATGTTATTATATCAGTCATGTGACTTAGTTGTACCATTATAATTGGTTAATTGTATCTTTAAGAGTTAGGTCAACCATCTTCATAAATACTAATTAAACCAAATATTTACTAATAAAATAATATAAAATTTTATATTTCGAAACATATCTTGCACTTCTTTATTTCTTCCTGTGGGACTGACACTGATGAAATCAGGGGTTCGATTCCCCGCATTGAAACAAGTAGTGTGTGTAGCTTTGCGTTAATAAACAAACACTTTTCTTTAAGTTTAATAAAATTACTGGAAATAATAATTTCAGAATTGTCAATTTCCAGCATTCGTTTGTAGAAATGTGCTTCCCGCCATTTGAGGCTCAGGTACATTATTTCGGAGCTTTATGGTCAACTTAAGGATGAGTTTATTTGAAGCATTTCCTTAGATTTTCTCGGAAAATTAATAAGTTTTACTAATCCCAAACCCCAGCTTTTAGAAAGGCTAACATGGGCCTGATTGTATATGTGAAGCAAACTAGCTCGTGCATGTTGAATTCAAAAACGTTTTTCAATGGTAAGTTATTATACTGATAATTTCACGTATCTTTTCTTATTAAATTTACTTTTATACAATTCTGGTACACTGTAGATTATTATGGAACCCAAAGTGAATTGGAGGTTGTGTTTGTTTGTTTGTTTTTGAATTTCGCGCAAAGCTACACTAGGGCTATCTGCGCTAGCCGACCATAGTTTAGCAGTGTAAGACTAGAAGGAGGCAGCTAGTCATCACCACCCACCGCCAACTCTTGGGCTACTCTTTTACCAATGAATAGTGGGATTGACCGTCACATTATAACGCCCCCACGGCTGAAAGGGCGAGTATGTTTGGTGGGACGGGGATTCGAACCCGCGACCCGCAGATTGCGAGCCTTTAAAAATATACACGTAAACTGTATTATATAAAACGTATTTAATAAAGCCCACTATTAAAACTAAACTTCCGTTGTTTGAATATTTTTGTTAGGATTATATATTTTAATTATTTTTACAGGATATTTTATTTTGAACGTAGACTTTTTCATTGAATATGTGCAAAATTCGATCAATTAATTTTTTTATTCTAATAATAAACAACTTGGGGGTTTACCATAGTAGACAGACGATTTGTAGTTTGTGTTGTCAAAGTGATCATAGCAGATGCGCGCAGAAGGCCCAGGTATTCATAGGCTTCCCAGGCTCCTCTCGCCAAATCGCCACAATCCATTCTCTCATCAGCTTTTGGTTACTGAAGAGGAGTCTACTGTATGTCCTCTTTGTTTTGTACAACCAGACATGGAGCGTTAAGGCATTGTTGACAAAATTCGCTGGTTGGTAACACTATTACACGCGTGAAGTCAGACCTAAATACCAGTAAACTGTCAGTTTCATCACTCAAACGTACATCTAACAGAATATTGGGTGAACGTCAACCTTATAGTATGAATACCCGTTTGATTCTCTAGCTGCTTGAGGTATGCAACGGTTGAAGAGGAGCTATGACTGGATACCTTATATTGGTGTGAACCCATGCCTTGTTGGCTTCATTTCCAGATGGAAATCCTTCTTGAATATGTTACATATTGTTGCCTGGGGTACCTGAGCCGATTTTGTCTCTGATCTTTGTGTTTAAGAATTCTCTTCCGCAACAAGACGCCCCACATTGTTTATCACGGTTGAGGTTCGACTTATTGCAGGTCCCTTTCTAAATGATTTTGGTACCTCAAATTCGTACATATTCATCTGTTTCCCAATACCATGAAATACAAGGTATATCAATCTCTTAGAAATTATAAATATCAGATAAGAACACACCTTGGTTATCTGAGTGTATGAATATTTTGAATCAGAAACGATTGTAACATACTCCTCTCAAAAGCGATCAATATTTGGTGTCATCACACTACCTATGTAACGCCAATGTCAAAATGTAATTCCAATACGTTCTGTTCCACCACAACTTTATACTGGCTGGGGTTGTCACGTAGTTTGCTGATTTTAGTACAACTTACTCAACACTATATATGGAGAGATATACTGGCGTGTTTACTATGTCATACTTTAACCAACTTACAAAAAAAATTCTAATGATTTCCAATAAATGACACTGATCGAGTAACGTAGGTGGTACGTAACACAGAATGGTAAGACAAATCACTTGCTTTCACCGTATATACGTCAGTTTGCCATATGTTCATTATATTTGAGAAACCTGAATTCGGTCATTATCTAAGTTTTCAAGTCATTAATGACTTTGGGACTGAGATGGAGGGTTTTGTGTAACTTATATAGCTCTCTCTCTCTATATATATATAATATGGTGGCGATATAACAGTCTCTCTTGACATGCAGTGACCAATATTTTAAAAACGTCTTGCCATTTTTATAAAATGTCAGTTGTTATACTTATGTTTCCTATTACTGTATAATAATGAGACATTTTTTTAGATTTAAACATATAAATTATAATATTATTTTCACTATTTTTATATACTGCTTGTGCTTGAACAATGTACCCTATACGTTTTTAAACAACACAATGATATATTTGTAAGTTTATACTTTGTCTATATGTGAGATTTTCATTTCTGTATTGCAGTTTGGGTTTGTACGATGAATATAATATTTTGGAATTCCTCCATACTAATATTTTTCTGTATTTATATGTCACATTTAAAGAAGTAATCTAACATACGAAAAAAGTGGCTAGTCTGCAAAAACAAAAACAAAAAAGATTAGACACGTAAATTTCAATAAATCCCTCTTTATTTTTTTAGGTAGAAGTTGTAAAAAGGCAACAAAAAAGTCGAGGTTTAGAATACACAGCTTTTGAAAGCCAAATAAGGCTCAAAGTTTTTTATTATTTTGTTTTATAACAATTTATATATGATATGTTTAGTTAGCTAACTTGTGAAATATTAACAAAGTGAGACATTTGAAACAGGCATCCAGTGCAGAGGAATTCCTCACCTTATAAGAAATTCCAAGTCAGTTAACGAACAAAATATATACTTCTCCAAAAGTCCCCAAATTAAAGTTTGATATCGCTTTTCTATAGCTTTTTCCATCTAAACTTAAACGATTTTAACTTTTGAAGGTCAGTATACATCCATGAGTATAATGCAAACACTTTCAAAATAGTCAAGTAGCCAGTATAGAAAATATGGAGATACACCCCAAATTGTGCTATAGTAAAACAATGCCAGAAGTATATAATTTATTGTACAATAATTTATATACTATATACTTTTATGAAGTCTCTAATTCATTGTACAATACTTTATATACTATATACTTTTATGAAGTCTATAATTCATTGTACAATACTTTATATACTATATACTTTTATGAAGTCTATAATTAATTGTACAATAATTTATATACTATATACTTTTATGAAGTCTATAATTCAGTGTACAATAATTTATATACTATATACTTTTATGAAGTCTATAATTCAGTGTACAATAATTTATATACTATATACTTTTATGAAGTCTATAATTCATTGTACAATACTTTATATACTATATACTTTTACACTATTTCAGTTAGTTAGCTTAGGTTTGGTGGAGAGGGGGGACCAGATCAAATGTTGGGAATGCTGTTGCACTGTCCTGAACCCCTGTAGCTACGTGCCGATTTTAAAATTCGACTTAGCAATTCGTTCAGTTTTATCTATTTCTGATCTACAGAAGTAGAGTATCCTAAAGTTCTCCCATTGAATCCTCCTTTATAATAAAGGTCATTCAACTTTGTAGTGTCGTCAAGTTTTGACCTACTTTGAACAAACACAAGCGATTGTTTAACAGCTGACATTTAATGTGTTTCACCAAATTTGGTCGAAATCGATAAAACTATGTATCAGATACTTACCACACAAGCACACACTTGTTGAAGTCAAACAGTGTAAAAATAAAAATCAGTTTAAATATAGAAAACAGTAAAATAAGACAACATTTGCTAAACTTGGGATCTTTTTCTTCCTTTTTTCGCTAATAATTCGTATCATAACTTGAATAATACTTAAACATTTCACAAGAAATAGGCTTTTTATTATTCTAAGTTAGCCCTACTCTTTACTTTTTTTTGCACCTGTTTTTCCATTTTACATGTCTAATTATAAAATATCTTTTTTGAGAATTCTTTTTAAGATAGGCAGTTAAACTCATCCACCGAATTGTGCTTTGAAGTGCTGTGAAATAATGAGATAAGGTTAAGAGAATGTTAATTTTCCTTTGACCTCCACTGATGCAATTGTTGCAAGTCACTTATTGCTATCTATTTCCTTTGGACATTCTCTCTTTTATAATTAATCATATTAACTTCTGAAAAACAGTACAAATAATTAAAGAATTCGAATTGAATGACAAAATTGCTTGAGAATTGGAAAATTGTCCTTTCAGTTTAGTTAGTGGGTTAATTATTTGGCTCAGTTGACAACAAATATTCTTTTTCGTCTACCCCTTGCTTGGCATTTCGAATCCCAGAATGGTGACATTTTTGAACGTATTTTTCTTTGTTCTGATTCGACTCCGAACACAACTAAAACCTCACATTAGTAATCCCATTCAGTGTAACCAATGTTTTCCTTTTGGCCAATATAACTTTCTGTTGTCGAGCCCCCAGTTGTTCAGCGGTAAGTCTGAGGGCTCACACCGCTAAAACCGGATTTCGATACTTGTAGTGGGCACAGCACAGAGAGCCCATTGTGAAGTTTTGCTCTTAACAACAAACAAACCGTTGTCAAGGCCACATCTATTGTTCTAATTGTATGAAACGTCATAATTCTTCTGTTGTGTGACAGGCCTCAATAAGTGTCAACTATGTTGGATAACATTCATTGACTTTTCACAGATTCCGGCAAGAATCTCTAGAACTTGCATAATTATATTCTGAGTGCAACTTATCTCCCAATAATTTCGATTATTATTTCATTGATCTCTACTTTACATTATGT